GGTTTAGGGGTTAGGGTTCAGGATGAGGTCTCAATTGTAGGTCATGTCTCCCTATAGTACTTGCTCCTTGATATGGAGTCAAGAGGGCCTTAATGTACCTAAGAGAGTCCCTTGTGGTACCCATTAGTGAGTGGGTGAGTAACCCAAGGTCAGTTCAAGCTTTGGAGGTTTAATCGGGGCTTTCAAGCGAAGAGGCTTGGACTTCAGTTTGCAGTATGTGTCACCTTCTTCCTTGCCACTTGTTGGTGCTTCTGTTGGCACGTATCGATCATGAAGCAAGATTGAGGACTAGTTTGATCTTGTGTGCATGGTGAGAGGGTTGGGTTGAGAGTTTTGGGTTCAGGGTTTTAAGGGACAGCGCAACTATCATATGATTGTAATTAATGCGGCCCTCATTTCAGGGGTTGCGGTAGCCACAATTCCCCTATATAGCCCCTTGGCTTTTGTTGAAGATGCAATTTTGTTGGTTCCTTATAGGGACATTACTCAAAACCAGGCCTTTGAAAGGAACAAGCAATGTCCTGGCATGGATGCAGGGCTTCTGTTTGTAAGAGCCCTAGGTTGGGATCAACTTGATCCAATTTGATATGAGAGGAAGGTCTCAATGGGGAGACTATTGTTGCCCATGATGGAGTAAAATTATATCCTTCTTTTGGGTTAGTCGCTTACTCATATGGGGAGCTGTCAACAATCCTCGGCCCGGGACCATGATTGAATTTGGGTTTCAGGTTTAGGGCTATCATTCTTAGTTCGGCAGCTCCTTGATTTACGCGAACAACATAAACATTTATGTATTAAAACCTCAGAAGGAAAATGGTGGTGTGTGTTTTTAATAGTATGCCAGCCTGAAACCACTCCCAACCCTAAACAGTTAAGCCAGCACTACAAGGTTGCATGGGCGTTCAGATTTGTCTTCTGGTCATTAGCTCGTTTTTTGGGGGGGATAGCGGAAAAGAAAGTGGCAACTGGTATTGCTGGTTTAGATTTTCGGGTTTAGGGCCTCCGATAGCTTTGTTGTTGGACTACTTGGAGGGTCGGGGGGACGTGGTGAGTAGGTGAATGAGGCACATTATGTAGTTTATAGGGCTTATGAGTGGCTAGGAGTAGGCTTGTAGACTTCCTGAGTCCCCATGATTTGGGGCTTAGGGTTTATGGTTAGGGGTTTGGGGTTTAGGGGTTTAGGTCTTAGGGCTTGGGTTCGCAACTTGATCCGGGACTTTGACTATGGTTTGATTGGCTCAGGCGATCATTCGCTGCATGCGCACCCTTCGGGCAGCGGCCTCAAAACTCTATGAGTTCAATGCCTGGCTCCACTGGAAGGAGCAGCGGGACAGACTTGTCATAGAAGTGGGTTCTCTTACCAGTTTCCTACAATAGGGGGGGGACCCCAAAATGCTGTAGTCCTTGTTTCAGGGACCTCCAAAACGGTGACCTTGATTTCGGTGAAACTCCCATTTGGAGGCTGGAGGTAGACAGTACTCTGGTAAGGATGCTTGAGGCGCGGTTTGGGGTTTAGGGCTTAGGGTGTAACTTACTAGTGATTAATGTATTCCGTTATTCCCGGCTCTTCCTAAACCATAGATTTCCTTATTCCCTACTAAATCGCAGTAAGTTACTGCTAGAACTCCGATGCCATAATGGACCATAATCAGCCATGGTCCCTATGTTCCCAATGGTATGCTAGAAACATCAGATTTCTATAGGGGCCCCAAATCTATCCCAGAATCTCCAAGTCATCCGGATGGGGCTAACCCTTAACAAAAATCAGTGCAAAACCCCGAAAGATACCACGGCCATTTAGAACCTCACTAGGGCTCATATCTTATAGTTCGTAGTGGTGCGAAATACCTAGACTCCAAACGACATTGGATGTTTTGCGACATCCCCAATGAGGCACCGGAGGTGAAGCAAAAGATGGACGAGCTTCAACAGAAACAGGCACTCTTACGTAGGGTTTGGGATTATATGGGCGTTATTTTGGGATACTGGAAAAGAGAATGGAAACTATTGTATAGTATATTGGGGTTATATAGGGGTTATAGGCACTCCAGCGTCAATTTGGGGCTTGACACATAGGTTTCCTCGGGGGTTTCAGGCTAAGGTTGTAGGGATTCTCGAAGGCTTCGGGTTGGCTAAGGGTTTAGGGTTCAGAGTTCAGGGTTTAGCTTTTAAGGTTCAGGGTTTAGGGTGTAGGGTTTAGGGTCTAGGGTTTAGGTTTCAAAATTTGGGGTTTAGGGTTCAGAGGCTGAGGTGCTTCGCCTGTAGTCAGTCGTGGATGCATGGTGGGAGATGCAGAAAACAAGGGCGCTAACTGAGCTGCAGCTATAGTCTAAACTCCTTAAAGGGGTGAAATAAGGCCTTATATAGGGGACTACTATAGGGCTCGCGAAGGGGGATACTAGAAGTTCAGACTATAGCTCAGCTGGGTCGGAGGCGCATCTCCTTGCCGTAGTTGATTTTGCTGTCAGATCTTGCTTGCCAGGCTTTCCATACATGAAAGTCAGGAGCCACGCGGTTTAAGGTTCAGGGTTTAGGGTTTAGGGTCTAAGTTTGTAAAAGAACCTTGGAGTTCTAGCAACTTATTGAATGATTCAGGAAAAGTTCAGGTGGGTAGTTACCAGGCGGGCGCCTGACACCAAGGTTGTATGGGAAGACTAGGAGGTATGTAAGGGCTATATGGGGTTCAACATGTGTGTGACCATGCTGGGCCGCCCGTAGTGAACCTAAACTAATTTACTATAATAAGGAACCCTATTCTTTTCTATATACCCATCTTATAGTAACTTAAGCGCTAAGCCCTGAACCCTAACCCATAAACCCTAATCCCTAAACCCAAAGCCCTTATACTCATATTAGGGTAATTTTAAAAAAGTTCCTCAACAGTAACGCAGCATGGGCTTCCGAGCAGCTCCTTCTCCCGGATCTTACCATGGCCTGTTGGGATTTGTTGTGGGGTTGGATTTCCTTGGTCTGATCCCTACCCTAAACCCTAAACCCCCCAAAAAATGAAACCCTAAACCCTAAAACCCTAAACCCTAAACACTAAAACATTAATACTTTGGGCCCTAAGCCCAGACCCCCAAGATGAACCCATTCCTACTTTGCGCACACGACGGAATGATTCGAGGTTCCATTTTTGGATCCTTTAGCGGGTCTGGGCATAGAAGCCCTAGAAAGCCTTATGTAGTGATACCAAGCTGGCAACTCTTCACCTTAAAATGCCCTGAATTACGTGGGGTTTCCCAGAATCAGAAGTTGAAATTTGCAGGAGGTGATGATTGCATATCGCATCATAGGCATACCCCATACATAAGTCTGGAAATATGGGGGTTCATTCCCGTCTAAGCACCAGTTAGGTCAGTGCACAAGCCCGATTATCAATTCGATTCCCGTATGATCCGTCTTTTTCAGCTCCTACATTCTTCTAGATCCACCTGTATGTGGACAGTTTCTATGCCATTGTCCATTTCATTTTCCAGTTTCTTCTCCATTTGACCATGTGATTCTCCATTGCTATACGTGTTTGAGCTCCAAGCCCAAACTGTATCCTAATACTAAACGTCCTGCATGAAATTATAAGTACCTCATACATTGAGAATTGTGACGTTACAGTACACTAAGTATCAGCAGCAGCGGTTTAAACTCTAAGCCGTAAACCCTAGATCCCAAACCCCTAAAACCCTGATATCCTAAACCTCTTCCTGATTGAAGCCCAAGCGTCCAGCTTTTTTTTCCTCAGGTGGAAGATGCTTTGGACCCACCCATGAGCTGGGCGCCTAGAGACGTACACTTCAGGTAATCCCCTGGGGTTTACGGCTTTGGGTTTAGGGGTTCAGGGTTTAGGGGTTTAGGGGTTTAGGGGTCCAGGGGTCCAGGGGTTTTGGGTTTAGGGTTAGGGTCTAGGATTTAAGGTTTAGGCTTTAGGCTTTAGGGTATGGGTAGCGCAGAAGCAAATGGAGAAGAAGATGGCAAAGGACACGGAAACTAGATTACGTAGGGCTTCATAAGCCTTAAACCCTAAACCCCGAACCCTAAACCCTAAACCCTAAACCCTAACGGTTCCCTCCTCCAGGTTTACTTATAAAGGCTTAGTACCGTGCAATTCCTCTACCCAAGCCCGAGGCCTCTCGTTTAGGCTTTAGGGTTTAGGGGTTGAGGCTTGAGGGTTTAGGGGTTTAAGGGTTTAGGGGTCCATTCATTTTTTTCCATGCTCGCTCAGCCTGGCCCAGCTGAGAGGTCTTTCAATTTCTTAGCAGTTTCTTAAGCAGGCCTCGAGCCACTAAGGGTTGCAGCATCCCATCCACAGAGCCAAAGCTTGTGCCACCAAACCAACTCATACTCTTCTCCCTGGTGCTTAGGAGGGAATGGGGGAATGGATTATGGGGAGTAGTGCTGGGGATTATGTAGGGACTTCTGTAGGGATCCATTCCCCCATTCCTTACTAAGCACCAGGGAGTTATTCGGCTCTTTCAAGCGCACTCTCAATTTCTTAATGCGGAGTCTGGGGCTCAAATCCTTTAACTCCACACCCTAAGCCCTGAACCTTAAACTGTAAACCCTGAATCCCCTAACCCTAAACCTCAACCCCTCAACCTTGAACTGTATATCCTGAACCCCAAACCCAAAACCCTAAACCTTGAACTGTAAACCCAAAACCCCACACCCAAAACCCTAAACCCTAAACCCTAAACCCTAAACCCAAAACCCTAAACCCCAAACCTTAAACCACCAGGCCTGATTCTGGCAGCGGCAGGAGCCTATGGCTCGACCTACGTAGGCAAGCCACAGAGGGAGTTTAGGGGGTTTCCCAAAATTAAGGGTTCAGGTTTAGGGTTTTAGGGTTTTAGGGTTTTAGGGTTTTAGGGTTTTAGGGTTTTAGGTTTTTGGGGTTTTAGGGTTTTAGGGCTTACAGTTCAAGGTGACCTTTTTGGAGGTCCCCATTATAAGGATTATAGTATTTTGGGGTCTATATTGGGGTCCCCTTATTTTGGGAAACTACCAGTTGAGGGTTTGAGGGATTAAGGCTTTGGGGTTTGGGTTTTGATGTTTAGATTTGAGGGTTTGGGGGATGAGGACTTGGGGTCTAAGGTTTGACATTTAGATTTTCGGGCTTGGGGGATTAAGGATTTGGGGTCTTAGGGTTGGCATTTAGATGTTAGGATTTAGGATTCAAGTTTGAGGATTTAGGATTTGGATACAAGTTTTAGTGTTTAGTCTTTAGGAGTTTAGGGCTTGGGGCCAGGGCCCCTAAAAGGAGTGAGGACAGGTATCTAAATAGGGATGGGTATATGGGGAGGTTTTAGAGGAAAGATGGAAAAGAACTTGGAAGCCACTATTCAGGGCTAAGGGCTTCCCAAAATTGGATCCTTTTTGAGGGTTTCTATGTATACTAAAGGTTATAGTATGTTTGGGTCTATATTGGGGTCCCCCTATTTGCGGGAACTATCACGTAAGCTGTGCCCGTTGCAGGGTTCTCGGGCATTACTTGAAGGGTCAGAGGGACTCCATAGGTATGTTGATGGCCACTTTAAGCCATTTGAGTACCTCATTATCCCCATTCTCGACCTACTTGCCAAGTCCCCTGACCCAAAACCACATATATCCTTGTATATAGCTACATATGCCTAGAGCTTGTCAAAGGGCCTCTTATCAGTCTAGTTACTAAGTCTGCCCGGCCCTTCAAGTATGAGCAGGAACTGCAGCCCTCCCGCGCAACGTGCTCCTACTTGGAGGGTCATTGGGACTTAGCAACTAGATTAATATTGGGGATAACTAGGGTTACTATATGGGTCATAGGGGATATTAACCTACTTACTAACTATCCTGACCCTCCATGCTAATAAGACCATCCTGTGCATACTGAGGTTTCTTAAAGGTCGCGCAAGCTGTCGTTCTCCGTGATCTCAAAACCCCAAACCAAAACCGAATTTCTGAAAGCTACACGCTACACTTGAAACCCTTATGCCTAAGATCAGAACCTCGAACTGTGAACATTGATCCTTTAGCTGGAGATTTTAGTCGACATCTTTGATGCTGGCAAGCAGTTGCAGGAAAGCAGGAGAAGGCTCACATTGAATATTCTTGACCATTCACCAGAGCTCCACGGCACTTCCCAAATCCACTGTTGAATGCTTCACGTAGTATTCTTTTCTCGTCCTTCTGCAATTCTACCAGAACATACCCTAAAGCCTTCTTCTAATTGTCCAGGGCCCTACGGTTACTCTTTCAGGACAGCTGAGGTCACCCTGGGCAACTATGAGGGTCCCAAGGTGTTATGGTTCTAGCTTCCTTTTATGATTTTGATATAGAGTAGCTCACATAGATCTGTAGGAATGAAGTATCAAAGTGATATCAGTTACAATCAACCAGATCTCTAGGTAAGCCCCAAAGGATTCTGCATGTTGTTTACTATCGAACCCCCTAAACCTTAATCAGTAAACCCAAAGCCCTGAACCCGAAGCCCTCAGCCCTAAAGGGCTCTATGTTTAGAGTTTAGGCTTTAAGGTCAGTATTTCTAAGACACCCCCCCCTAAACCTAAACCCCAACCCCTAGACCCTATTAAACCCCAAACCCTAAACCCCTTGTCCTCGAAGCCCTACGCCGACCACTTCGATCGCGACCGCTGCTGCTGCAGCTTGCAGCTTGCGGGCCTCCTGCTGCCATGCTGGCTTGAATTAAGGGTTTAGGGTTTAGGGGTTTACGGTTTGGGGTATGGGGTTTAGGGTGTAGGTTTAGGGTTTGGGAAAGGTGGTTTAGGGTTTAGGGTTTAGGGTGGGGTTAGGGATTGGGGATTCGGGTTCAGAGCATGGACTTGCAAAGGATTCGGGTTTTGATATGTATATGTGCTGTCGGGTGCTGTCATGATTTCAGGAGAACTAGGATTGTAAGGGTGGAATCTCAGGGGACCTCTGGAAACCTATGTGCCAGGAGTGCTGGGCCATTGGTGAAAGTAATTTTCTGATCTTTCTCAAACTCAAACCCGAAAGAGGGTGTGAGGTAGGCCTCGGGGCTTGGGGTTTGGTGTTAGGATATGGGGTTTGGGGTTTAGGGTTTAGGGTTTAGGGATTTCAACAAGGAATCTGGTTTGTGTAGCGGACACCAATGCCAACACCCTTCCTGTGGTGAGCTTGCAGACTCCACTTCCGGCAGATAGACTCCCCGTTGTAAGCCCAGGTGGGTTATATAGGGGATTATATGGGGTTTAGGTTTTAGGGTCTAACCTGCTTCAAGGGGGTTATATGGGGGATTATATAGGGGAGAGCCCAAGCAGAAAAACACTCAGTTTATGACAACGCTAAAAGTATAATATGCATTCTGCTAGCATTTTTTATTATAGATAACACTAGTTTTAAAGTTATTGTTATGGAGTCCCTGTAGTTAATAGCAGGGATAGCACTGGTGTTTGGAAACAAGCCTAGCTAGCTGGCAGCCCTGCATTTTAGCATATTTGAGGCTCTTGGTCGTACCAACTCATCTGACTTTTGAGCGCCCCCGATTGTTTAGGGTTTAGGGTTCGGGTTATGTAGAAAAATGATCCCGCGTAATCCGTTTAGGTCCTTCAAGCCATGCGCCATACCTTCATGTGTCCTCTTGCGGACCTCCGTTGTTCAAGGACCAGGAGTTAGTAAGTTCAGTAAAAATGGGGTTGCAGGCAAACTAACCACATCTAGGGGACTCATGACCCCATTTATAACCTACCTATAAGCCCCTGGGCTTAAACCGTAAACACTTATACTTATACCTTTATATCTCCTTACATATCCGTACATACTCCTGTATATACCTGTATGCCCTTACATGTCCCTATACATCGTTATATAGCCCTAGATATCCCTACATATTCCTACATATCTCCTCAGCCTTCAAGTGAGCTATAGTCTAAACTCCTTAAATGGGGTTATAGGGGATTATATTTCGGACATTTACAGGGATTATTAAGGGGAAACTAGGAGTTTAGACTCTAGCCCATGTAGGAAAACATTCAGTTCATGAGCAGGCTAGAACCTAGGTCCCCCCTATAGCTAGTATTGTCGATAGCACGAGTGTTATAGTAACTTGTTTGGAGCCTTCCAGTATTACATATCCTTATATGTCCTTATGTATCTCCTTATATATTCCTGTATACCCCTCCCCATATACTCCTACATATGGGTGGTTGTCAAAGTCATGGTCCGCTTTTGGATCCTTATTTGTAATACGGCAACCCGATAAAGACCTCAATATATTATAGTCCTTATTATGGGTACCCCCCAAAAAAGTACCTCTAATTTTGGGAAACCCTTATATATCCCCTAGGCCTTGAAGTAGTTTGGTGGCTTTTCTTCACCTTTTGGCAGGCCGTCCTCTGCATGGGCGGGCTGTGTATCGGATCGAGCCTTACGACAAAAGGGGTTTGGGTTTAGGGTTCAGGGCTTAGGGGTTTAGGGATTAGGTTTAGGGGTTTAGGGGTTTAGGGATTAGGGTTAGGGCTTAGGGTGTAGGGTTCTAGGGTCTAACGATTACGGAGAAGTAGGGTTTAGGGTTCAGGGATTAGGGCTTAGGGGTGCTGTTAAGGAACTTAGATCAACTTACCATCATCTGGGTATACAAGATTTAAGGTTTAAGTTGCCATAATATGAGTATATAGGGTTGAGGGTTTAGGGCTTAAGCTACAATGATGGGTATCCCTGGGTTTTGGAACTGCCTGGAAATACATAGATTGATAGATACATACATACATAGGATCCTTTTAAAGGGGCCCTTGTGGACTACATTGGCTCATACTCTCAAATGTGGGTTACATTGGAGCCATAGTGGGAGAACCTCGTAGGGGTATGACCTGGCGGAACCCTTGATGCTGCAAACTGTAGCACGCGTTTGCAAGTGTGGGTTTCCTTGCATAGTATGGGTCCCTATGCTATGTTTTTAGCATAGAAAAGTTTTCACATGCTTTTCTTGTGTGCTGACAACGGAGGAGCTACTGCGGACACTTATCCCGGGGAACCTCCTATCAAAATCTTCCAATGACGTCTCCTTGACAAAAGTCCCTCCGCGCCATGAACCCTGAACCGTGAACCACGGGCTCCTCCGGTCAAGCTTTCCTGTTGCCATTGCAACTAATCCTCTCCCCCCGGTACTAAACCCCACCCACCCCCCCCAAATATTAAATATTCCCAATATGTTATGAAATACCACAATGGGGAGTATTTGATATCACGGGGGGTGGGGGGGGTTTAATCTTAGGGGGAGGGGACTACCTTCTTCCTGAGGTCGGAGGTTGCTGAAAGACTTGCTGTCGCGAGACAGTCATTCCCCCCACCCCGGTGGTGCTGGGGCAACCTAGGGTTAGGGAGTATGGTAGAAGTTGAAGTGTTGTTATGGAGTTGCGATCAGGAGTAGGATGTGAAGACAAGACCTTCGAGATTTCAGACCAAGTGCTGGCATGTGTTTGCTTGGGTATGGAAGCTATGAAAGGTAAATGCACTTGCGCGTGCTCACCTGTTGTGAAGACTCACCGGGGGTTAGTAGGGAATCAGGGGATACATTGTGTAGGGGTTATATCGGGACTACATTCTCTTATTCCCTACTAACCGCCAGTAAGAAGAAGGCATCACGATCTTTGTCTTCCAAACCTTGAACCCTAAATCCTAAAACCTTCAACCCTAAACCCTAAGACACTGCGGTTCCCTCTGGGGTGTTTGAAAGGCACATGGAGGGTCAGGGGGATTTAGTATTTATACTATTAAAGCTTAGGGTTTAGGGTACTTTTGGTCGACCTCCAGCCATTGATAGTGACTACAAGGGATAATTGGGGTTTTGTTAGGGTCTTCTTATATTCCTCTTATTTGATTGTTACAGGGTGGGGGGGTCCACCTAGCGCATACTATTCACTCCAACACGCCATAGAATAATCGCAGCTATCCTACAATTGAGCAGTATTTAATTTGGGGATACTATGGTACCCAATATAGAGTAAGATTATATCCTCTTTTTGGGATATAGTATTTCATATAACGAAAATAATCTTACTAGGTTCAACCACCAGAAAAAAACGCTACTCAATTAGGTATTAAGACAAGTTATCCAACTGTTCGGCCGAATGGCTCACAATTATGGAAGGGCCGGGGGTCCCAGATACCAGGTAGCAAAACACACAAATTATTGAGGTTTAGGGTTTAAGGGCTGGGATTTCCAAAGTCCAGCCAGGAAAGCACTCAAGTTATAACCAAGTTATATAGCTTATATCCACTATAGCTACTCTGGTAGATAACACTCGTGTTATAGTTCCTATTATAGAGAAGTTGGGTGGTTCATAACATGGCCCAAGGTCCGTGGACTGCTGATTCCCCTTTTATGGTTTTTAGGGTTTAGGGCTTCTCAAGAAAGAGGCCCCAGGGGACCCTTAAGACATAGTAGGAGGTGGAGATCCAAAGGGACTAGGGTGGATTAGGCGATTTTGAGAAGAAAGTCCCAGGTTACCTTTGAACCCTAATCCCTACACCCTGAACCCTAAACCCTAAACCCCAAACCTTAAACCCTAAACCCCAAACCCTAAACCTTAAACCCTAGACCCCAAGCCCCTGTTGCAGGGGGGGTGGGTGTGTGTGTGTAATGTTAGGCGGAAGCCATTACTTTGAGGGTCCGTGAGGGAAGCATCGCTTGTGGGAATCTCCTTAGCGTATAGCGCTTAGGGTTCAGTGTTTTGGACTTAGGGTTTAGGGTTCGGGGTTTAGGGTTCAGTGTTTAGGGTTCAGGGTTTAGGGTTTAGGGTTCAGGGCAGTTTAGGGTTTAGCCCGCCATGCAAAAGATCGACTTCAAATCCTGATTTGCATCCTCCTCCAAACAGACATGGGACCCCAAAAGGGCCCCTATGAAGACTACTGTCCCTTAAAAAGGGAGCAACATAGGTTTCTCTACTAGTTTAGAGATGGGTAAACCCTAAACACTGTGTATCCCTATATCGCGCCCGAACCCCTATTCAACTTGTTTGGGCCTCCATTTTAGTTTGGGGTAGGCTAAGCTTCTTCCTGGACCCTATACCATAAATGCTGAGCCCTAAACCTTCTTGCAGTGCCGCATCCGCCATGTGTTATGGCATTTGGCTCGATAAAGGTTCCGTGTTGATTTGCCGATACCTGACACTGCGCCCTGCGTGCAGAGTCGTTTGCAGTTCAAGGCCGGGATGTTGGTTTTCAAGTTCGCTAAAATTCAAGGGTTTAGGGGTTTAGGGGTTTAGGGTTTAGGGTTTAGGGAAAATTCAAGGGGCGTAGAGTTTTTTCCTATGTCTATAGGGATATGTAGGGATACATGGGGTTCAAGGTTTGCAGCCCACTTTCATGGAGATAAAGGTTCACTAGGTCTGCATGGGGTGTACCTTCTACACCCCTCAGGTACCAGGATCTGTTCTGCGATGTGCTGGGTTGTTGTCAAGGAACTTGAACTAAGCTACTATAATGGGGATGTCCTATTATCTACTAGGTATCTATATTGTGGTATCTAAATGTAAGTTAGCAGCAACCCAACATGCCCCAGCATGATACACTCGCAAGTGCTTAAGTGGAGTGAGGGAGTGGATCCGAAACAGGATCCTTATATGAGGTATAGTCTAAAGTGCTTAAAGGGGGGATATGTGGGGGATTTTATAGGGGACTACTATAGGCACTATTAAGGGGGATACTAGGAGTTTAGACTATAGTTCATATGGCCCACCAAAAGCATCCTAATCCTGAAGGCCTAAAGCCTAGACCGTCTAGACCCCACGTGTACCGTAATCAGAATCCCTGTCACCAGTCCCTGAAGTTCCAGCAAGTAGACCACGCTGGGACACGGCAAAGCCTGCGGCAAATTCAATAAGTAAGCTTGCCGCTGGACCCAATTCCGGGTTTCCTCAAAATAGTGGGCACTTTCCCTGGTGGCTGCTTGCAGGAGGAAGTTTTTTCGAGAGTTCTCAAGGCTGCCTCAATTAGCCGATGTTCTGACCATAGACATTCCAAAGCAGCACAAAGTGAATCTCTTGCTGCTTGCACAAACTTTACGTAGCATTTGGCGACTGTCTAGAACTCGCAGCCTCCCGATCCCTACGTTGGATACTAAAAATCCTGCATGGCCTTGGGGTATGTTCTATATTGGGATTATGGTACTACAGTATATTAAGGTCATGCAGGATTTTTTAGAATCGACCGTATGTTCCTGGCATGTTCCCCTTTGGCCCGGGCTGCCCTCGAAAATCTGCCTGTATACCTTTGGCTATGTATCAAGATATGGGTTTGTACTGTTGCCTGTTTGGTAATTTTCCTAAATCAGGGAACCCAATATAGACTCCAAAATATTATAATCCTTATTTTAGCGACCCCCCACAAAGGGACGCCTAATTTCCGGAATCCCCCATTTGGAGAACCCTAAACCCCAAAGCCTAAACCCTATCATCTCAAGTGAGACATTGTTGTCTGCAATGAAAGAAACATAGACGGTCAGGGGGGCTTAGTAAGTAGGTTGATCCCCCTTTATCACCCATATAATATCTCCAGTTATGCTCCTCATCTACTTGCTAAGACACTAAACCCTAAACCCTGTGACCCTCCAAGCATCACGGCCTGGCAATCCGGCAAGGCTATTAGCTTGCGTACATAGTGTGCCCTTGGTGTACATGTCGTACATCTTGATGACGTTTCCCCTCGTCATGTCGCCCTGCAACTTTGTTCAAGGAATACGCTGAAATTGCAAGTAATTTGATGGTCAGGGGGGCGTAATCAGTTTAAAAAAAAGGCCACTGATAAGCATATAAAGCACACAATGAACGGGCACTGGATCGCATGAAGGTCCTGAACTCAAAGCCCTAAACAAATTGGTGTTTCCGAAAACAGTCGGGCCCTTTACCCCTTTACCGTGCTTATCATGGGGATCCTTCAAGAAGTTTTGAAGGTTCAGCACTTTGCCTTGGTGTTGAACCCCACACCCTGCACCTTAAACTAAACCCTCGATCCTAAACCCCAGGCTCCAACCCTGAACCATGAACGCTGAGCTGTAAGTCCTAAACCCTGAACCCTAAACACTCCTAGCCGTAACAATCAGGCCCAAATCCAGCAGCCGTGTACCCCAATAGGTTTAGGGCTTAGGGAAAACCGCATGGAAACAACAATGGAAGGCTAAAGGGAAACTGAGGTCGAAAGGATAATTACCCAAAATCGGGTCCCTTTTTGGTGGGTCCCTTTTACAGGGTTTGTGGTATATAAGGAGACAGAGACATCAAGCGTTTTGAGTCCAAAGACGTTGCTTCGCGAGTTGTTTGGGGTTCAGCATGTAGGGATTAATAAGGTTAAGGGTCTAAGGCTGAGGGTTTAGGGTAAAAGGGTGTACGCCAAATTGCACATCCAATACATAAGGGTACCAAGATTCCTGCGGAGCCCTGTATGCACTCGCCAAAAACCAACAAATCATTTCCCCCATATATTAACCCCCCCACCCCTGAGAGGGGTATATAGGGGTTAGGCAATTATCAGGGTTTGCGGGTCAAGCACCCCCACCCACCCTAATATCAAATACTCCCATTGTTGTATATAATAATGTATATATATATATACACAAGTATTGAATATTACGGGTGGCGAGGGGGTGTAATATTGGGGGGAGGAGGATTACTTCATGAGGGCGTGGCATGGGCCAAAGGCTCGGTGGGCTCAAGGCTTTTAGGAACCTAAACTCTGGACGCAAAACGCCACAGAAATACCTTAATCCCTAAAACTTAAGAGCCTCCGGCTCAGTCCGCCGACCCAGAGGCGGAAAAATCGCGAAAGCCTAAACCCTAAACCTTGAGGATTGTCAGCGGC